CTTTCCCTGGGGCAAACTCTTTCTCTGCTCACCTTGTTCCTGAATTTCCCAGCACTTAGCCTCAACTTCCACACCAAAATGTCCTTTTCCAGTTACTTGACGGGGTGCTCCCCCGGACCACCCACTTGGGGAAGTGCCTCTTAAGGACTGAACCTCGGTTCTTACCTGGGGTCTCCCCAGTGCCCAGCATCCAGCATCTTTACCTGTGGGCTTGAAGGGACATAGGTAGGAGGTTGTCATCTCCCTCCTGTCACCCCTGGGGTGGGGGTGACACCTCTGCCTCTGATTTAATCCATCCCTGCACTTCCTTCTGTCTACATAAAGAAAAACACACAACATGAGGCTCGTGAGTTTAAGGTTATTTTCCCCCGCGGACTTACTGAGGACCGTAGCCCGGGAGACAGCCTCTCAGGGCGCCGCTCTGAAGAGGTTGGGGAGAAACCAGTTTATATGTGATGTCTTTTTAGCTGGGAAATACATGCAGTCAAGCATACATCTTGGTAGAAGGTCAGGAAGAACAGATATCTTAAGTTAATGATTTTAGTGCTTTTCTAAGTATAGGAAGATGCAGGAATTTGGCGTCATTGAAATTCTTTCTGAGATATGCATCTAACTATCTTAGGGCCTGTTTACCTAAAGCACAGAGTGCCTACCAGGATTTTTTTTTTTTTTTTTTTTGGGGGGATCCTGGCCTCCCCGAGATGCCCCAGGCACGCTTGCTGCCACCAGCCCTACCACCTTCCTGTCTGGTCTTTCTGCACAGTGAGGGGTACGAAAAGCACCCTCGGGCACTGGGGCCACCTCATTCAGCAGCCAGCGCCTCCCAGGCATCTCCCAGAGACGTTCACCCTCCCCATGGGGTGGTGAACCCTCCCAGGTTGTTTCTTTATCCTGAATTCTTCAGGTGGGCGACTGAAGTGGGTTAGACTTAGGCTTGTATCAGTTGAACCGGAAGTGAGCCAGGCTCTTTGTTTTTCTTTGTTCACACTCCCCTGGAGGCTTATGAGGCCCAGGAAGAGGGGCAGTTCTTTAGCCCGTGACCTTGAAGAAGCTCCCTTCCACCTTGAGTCCTCTGGTGCTCAGTTGCCTCATCTGTAGAATGGACACGACGCCTGCCTCACTCATATTTGGGCCAGGGAACATGGGGAGGGTGAACGTCTCTGGGAGATGCCTGGGAGGCGCTGGCTGCTGAATGAGGTGGCCCCAGTGCCCGAGGGTGCTTTTCGTACCCCTCACTGTGCAGAAAGACCAGACAGGAAGGTGGTAGGGCTGGTGGCAGCAAGCGTGCCTGGGGCATCTCGGGGAGGCCAGGACCCCCCTCAGGACTGGATGTGGGTTAGGGTTCCTCACGCATGTCCTTTGCCCTCATTACCTCCTCCTCCTAATTACAGAAATAAGACGTAGTCTTGGAGGATGGAAAGAGCTGAGGAGAGGGAGAAAATCGGAGGGGGTGGCCCTCGATACATGTTCCAGTGGACTTCCAGCCTCTAGGTTGTGAGACAGTAAACTTTATTTTGCGGCTTGAGCGCTAACACGGTCCCTGTTTGAGGTCCAGCTTGGGGCACACAGTTCAGCCCGTAACAAGAACAATTTCCAGAGATTTCTTAGCTTGCTAACCACTTAGTGCTTCCTTATCTGGAGTCCAGATTTCTCATGGGTCTTCCTCTTGCTTGGGCCCAGGCTGCGGAGCTCTTGTAAGTACTGCAGGATACTCCATGGGGTCCCATGCAGGCATTTTGCTCCCCTCCCCACGTGTGAGCCGGATCAGGGAGAGGCAGGGAGATGGGTGGCGCTGGCCCGCAGACCCGGCTTGCACCCCGCAGCCTTAGCCCAGGATGGACTGGGGGTCAGTGGAGCCTGGAAGTGGCCTCTCCCTGCACGATTCCAGCCAGCCGTCCCTTAACTTCCAGAGCTGTGCTGAGTGGGGAGTATATGCTGAATACAGCTGGAGACTCCAAAGGCGTGGTTATCCGCAGAGCTGAGTATGGGACGAGAACTTGGAAATGGCAGGAGAAGGAGGGGTCTGGCTGGGCCCCACAGACGTGGGGAGTTGGGAAGATGCACTTGGCGGGGGTGGAGAGGCTGCCTGGGGGGCTACCCTGTGCCCCTGGTGTTGGAGATCCGACTCGGGGACCGTCAGTGCCTCCTGAGACTTTCTAAGCTTCGTCTGCACAGCGAGAACAGTCCTCTTGGCAATCAGATGGTGCCAGGCTCCCAGGACACTGCCCGGGTATAGCTCTGCCGTGGTGGGGCACAGCGGGGGCCGATCCAGGGGGACCCCCCACTCCCCGCTCCCAGGTGGACGTGGCCCAGAGTTGTCCCGGCTGGATGCCTGCGAGCCTGGGCTTCAGGGCTGTGGTTCCCAAACTGCTTTTTGCCAGGTCCCCACAGCGCACTGGTGGGCACCCCGCGAGCAGCTGCCTTCCCTGGGCAGAGGAAAACATTATACAGAAGAGAAAGGACCAGAACCTTGACCCTGGTTGTGGATCTGTTTCTGGCCTCGAGTCCAGAGTCCACCCTAGGGGCCGAGGGGAGCATGGCGCTGTGACCAGCGACACAGCAGGTAGAGACGTGGGCAAGATGATCCCACGTTTGCAGTGACCAAGGAAAGTGAGGGCGGGCTCGTGGTCTTCGCACCCCCGTCCCTGGAGAGGGTGCTGCTGAGTCAAAGGTGTCAGGCCATGTGATGCATCTGGGGCGCCCTCCCTGCGCAGGGCCAGGGACCTCCCGCTGCTCAGGCCTTGATTCTGGGGAAAGGAAAGGGAAGGAGTGATGGACCCAGTGAGGCCTCCTCCCCATCCCAAACGCTGGGTGGCTTGTTTCCTCCTGGAGGTAGAAAACCTCACGTGCTTCCCTGCTGGGAGTGTGGTTCTTCGTGTGTGTGTGTGTGTGTGGTGTGTGTGTGTGTGTGTGTGTGTGTGTGTGTGTGTACACACAATCTGCCAGGCCCATTGATCCAGCAGCTCCTCCCTTGTTTTTGCAGCCCCTATTCTCTCCTGTTGCTTCCCAGTTTGGTGAAAATCCAGCAGGTACACGAAGCTTAGGCTTATGTATGCGTTTCCAGGGCGGCCGCAACAAAGTGCCACAGACTGGGGGCTTAAAACCACAGATTTCTTCTCCCGCAGCTCTAGAGGCCAGAAGTCTGAAATCAAGATGTTGGTGGGACTGCATCCCCTCCAGAGGCTGGGGAGGAGGGTCCTTGCTGCCTCCTCCAGCTTCTGGGGGCTCCGGGCACTCCTTGGCTTGTGGCAGCATCACTCCAATCCCTGCCTCCTGTCACATGTCCCCCTCCTGTGTGTCTCTTATAAGGACCTCTGTCATTGGGTGTACCTGGGTCCACCCAGATAATCCAGGATGATCTTAATCTCGAGATGCTTAACTTGATTATGTCTTAAAGGACCGTATTTCCAATTTGGTATGTGCGTGAGTCGCCAGCCAACATGTATTTTAAGGG